TGAAGGGGAGAGGAGAGTTTTTGATTGCCTATGAATGGTTGTTTGCGTGGTCCAGGAGGTAGCTTTGAGGTGTCTCCTGATTTTCTAGAAATCCTTATGACCATAACTTGAGGAAGACAAAGGTGAGAAGGGAAGGGAAGAAGGCTTCGCCTGATCCGAATATTCAGCTTATTTTCAAGTAATTTTTTTGTTTTTAAAGAGAAATCTTTTGGCTCATCTGGTATCTTTAATTTAGAAAAACTCTTGTTTGAGTTTCATTGTCTTCTTCTTCTCTACCTCCAAGATCCCCTACCTCAAGCCCAATGCTTAAGTCAAAATTGAACATTCTTTCACTTTTCGCAATCTAGTTCCGAACATTTTTTAAGGTCTCAAACCTCTTATGGGAGATGCTCTATGGGTGTAAAGAGATGTTGCAGAAAGGGTTTTTTTTTTTTGAAAGGCAAACTTATTTTTATTAAATTTTGAGTACAAGGGATACTCTAACCCATATATAGCAATTCGAGTAAATACATTGATACTCAATCAAAAACCCATTCAAAATTTAAGCTACCTACCCTTATTATGTAAGACCTACCTTGGTTGTAAACATCATTCCATAAAAGAGATATACTTAAACCCATTCGATTTTTTGCACCAAAGATGTGCTCTGGTCTGAACTAAATCAAATAATCTATCCTCATTGACGACCTTGTTTCTAAAAACATGCTCATTCTTGCATAACCAAACCGACCACACTACTGCAAACCACACCACCTTCTAGCAAGCCTTGACAATTTTTGGCCCCCTAACCCACTTATGCTGTAAATACACTTCTTGGCAATCATTACTCAATACAAAACTTAATCCCTACCATCTAAAACACTTTTGCCATAAATTATAAGCTATCTCACATAAAATAAACAAGTGATTTTCCTCCTCTTGTTTTTTACCACAAAGCCCACATACATAATGTTGCTCCTCTATAAGAATTCCTCTTTTAAACAAATTCATTCTTGTGGGCAACTTTTTCAATAAAAGCTGCCATGCAAATGTTGTTACCTTGGAGGGAGTCTTGGATTGCCAGAGCTTTGAGGATAGTCCTTGCATGATATCTTGTTCACAATTTGCTAATCAGGAGTAAGCTGATCTTACTGAGTATTTGTTGCTTGTATCCCATTTCCAATTCCAATTATCTTTTCCACCTGCAATTGGTGCTAATCCATCAATCATATTTGAAAGGTCCCTTATCAATTCTTCTTCCCATGCATGTAACTTTCTCCTCCATTTCAAGTTCCACGACCAGATTCCATTTCTCCAAACACTCATGTCACTAACTCTTGCTTTTTGATCTATGGACAACATGAAAAGTCTTGGACAAATATTAGCCAAATTGTCAGCACTTATCCAAACATTATTCCAAAATTCAATGTCATCCTCATTTTCCAAACCTATTGAAAAACCCTCACTAAGCCACCTTGAGACAGAGCCAGTCTCCCTATCAATATTCTTAATGTCTCTCCACCATACAAATCCTATCCTATTACCCTCACACACCCATCTTATCCAATTTTCCCTTGTTCCTCCATATTTCTCCTTCAAAACCCTCTTCCATAACCCATTTTCATCACTAGCC